TGTAATTTTATTAAATAATTATGTACATGTAGTTTTATTAAGTAAAGTTATGTCTATGAGAGGTTGTCTGTCTGACAATGTAAAAGTTTTTCAAATAGACCACGATTTATCAATCTAACACATAATGCTTGCACAAAAGCATAGCTTAAATGGTGTGTGTGTGTATGAAAATGATAGAATAAGGAAAATTCAAGTGAAGGGCATGAAAACTACAACAAATATTTTGTGGGTCGAGGCTAGTATTTATATATTATATTGTATGGTTTTTTCTGTGCGTGCGTGTGTGTATATTCTCAGATCAAACATCCAGATATTTTTGAGTTAAATACAACTGTGGGAAAAAACATTAAGAAAAGTTTTTGTTTTTGCTCAGCTTAGGTTGAAAAATCTAAAATGAATTTTATTAAGCTTGCATGAGTTTGGAGAGCTGGAAAGATCCCTCATTACAGTTAATTGTTTTCAGCTGATGTTAGATTTCAACCCTTTTTGACTTATATTTAAGGAAAACTGCCTAAAAAAAGGTAGCATTGTATGATTTTTACCAATAAAACTGTTTATTAAAACACTTTTAATCTTTTATCTTTCTGAAGGTAAAACATGTAGAGTCACTTGTTAAAATAGTATTGTCAATTTTTTTCTGATTGTAAAGTTATTTATCAAAATACCTGATATAGTTTATCCATTTTTAATGTCAAGTTTGATGATCTTCCAAAGGTAGAATTCTCGTTGTCATTTTATATTTTTCTAATGCTTCCTTAAAGTTTAAAGAAATTTAATTTTGTTTATCAATTTCTTACTTTATTCACAGTGTCTGAACTTGCTCTATTCCAAAATACTAAATGCATTCTTAGTGGATTAGAATGCTTAAAACATACGCAACTTACAATGTATGAAGGAAATGTCAACACAGTGCTGTGCTTCCCAGTCACAAGTTCAGGATCATCCAGTAGATGAGGATTATAAGGAAGTTTTGTAAGGTCAGAGTAAGAGCTGAGGCCATAAATATATTCCATCTCTGTTATACACAAGTAGAAATCATTAGTATATCATCAAAAGATGCATTCAAACAAATGATTATTTCTAAAGAGCTTTTAAGTGGTGAGTGAAAATTAATTTTGTATAGGGTAATAACCTTTATCCCCTTGTGCTACATAGGTAATCATGCTTCAGTCTGCATTAGTAGTTTGAAACAGTCTTCAATCTACCACAGTACATAAAATATTAAAAAGAAAAACGAGAAATAATTGTTTTGTAAACTGATGCAAAATTTGGCATTCAAACTTTGAAGAACAGCCTCAGCTTTTCAAAATATTACTAAGAAACTTATCTTTTGTGAATTTTCAGTTTAAACCACGTTTATATAAAAGAAACAGTGTACTTCTACAAAATGTAACAATACTGAGATTTCATAATTACCTTTATGTATTAAGGGTTAGTGTTAACTGTTAGTGACCTTACAACAGTTATTATTAGACTTCAACACTATTCATTATTTATCTATCTGTTTCTTTAAAGCTATTATTAGGCATTAAAACCCGTTGAATATTAAATACAATTAAAAAGATTTGTAAGAAAAAGTTGGTTACTTTCAATGGAGTTAGATGCACACGTGCATGCACCTTCATCAAATTAGGAAATTTTTATTTAAAGAAAGATGGCATTTCGAGCTAGCGTTCTTCATCAGATCGTACAGCTGATACAATTAGATTTATCAGCAAACAACAAAAAGGCACTGAACATAAGATGCAGGATACTAGGGTTGAAGTATTTATCAGTTCAGATTAGACTAGTTAATTTACTATCAGTGCTATAAGAGACTAATTCCATCTGAAAAATGTCAAAGCAATAGATGTAAATGTATGGTTTTGCATTTTAATAATTGAGGTTGAAAGATTTCAATTAAAAATACTGGACAACATCTTTTACAGTAATTATTTACAGATGAAAAAATATAATTTGTTTGAATGATCTTATAATTTTAACATTATTCATGAATTACAGTAGAGTGAAAATCATCCTAATAGTAAAGATTTTAATAAATCTCTTTAATCTATTTCAGCTGTCTTTAACGGAGCAGAACTTAAATTCTCATAAAAGAGAGAACATTAGTGTTTTCCAAGGTGATTCTGTAAATTTCCAAGAAAACTTTAAAATGAAAATACTGAAAGACAACCATCTTCTAGAAGCTTCTACTTATTTCCAATGCTAAATGAATATAAACATTAAAAACTGAAAGACAACCATCTTCCAATTATTTTCATTTCTACATGCATCAAAATGTTAAAGTAGTACATTCTCGACACCCAATTAAACACTGTCTTTTTTCTAAGCTCTTACAAGTATAGAGTGTGAATAACGAAAAGTTGGGTCCAACTGAACAATAAATAGAAAATATTTTAACTGTAACCAGCTGCAAGTACACAACTTGGCAATGCATTTAAATGTATGTTTGAAACACTCAATTTTTTTTATATTACCTTTAGGGTTAGGAATTACAATTTGGAATTATCAATTTGAATGGCACCTTGTGTGTGGCTAAATCATGAGGTCAGAACACCTAGGGTCCAGTTATAACCATCCCTAATTCTGAACTATTGATCAGAGGGAAAGAGACCAGCTAACATCATAAGGGTTTTCTCTAGTTCTTTGAAGTGAGTAACATGATTGACTATCAGCTTTTTTAATGCATACATATTTGAAAGTGTGTTAAACACTATCAAGTCTAGCATCTCTGAATCCTTTGATCCACAACCTAACACGCTAACCACTAGGCCCCACCCAGACAGGAATTTTAAAAGTTACATGAGCCAACTAGTAGACATGGTACTTAAATCATTTAATGTGTAATACCCCAAGTTGAGTTGGAATCTTTAATGTGAATCAAAGTATAAGAAGTGATAATTAAATTATTTAGTGGGTTAGTGTGAAATTTTGAATCGGAAACTGATCTGGAATCTTCAATGTGAGTGAAGTATAAGGAGCGGTAGTTAAGCAATTAATACATCAAGTTGGGTTAGAGTGAAATTCTGAATCAGAAACTGATCTAGAATCTTTAAGTTAGAATCACATATGTTTATATTAAATATTGTTATTTAAACATAAAGAACACATTTACTATATGTTAAAATCAGATTTTTTTTATGTACTAACCAGCTTTAGCAAAGAAAAATATTTGGCCAAACAAAAGAAAGTAATATTCAAAATCACAAACTGCTTTATTATTATAAAATGTGATTTTCGTACAAACATTATGTTAAAGTAAGCCACTTTTGACTTAAAAGCCAAAATGTAACTTAACATACTTTTATCTGATGTAACTCCTGGGGATGACGGGTGTGGACAAGCTCCTGTAGACAAAGAAGGGTCGTAAGAGTAACACCGATTAAAATGAAACTGAAAATTTGAATGTCCACATTGTTCCGTATCTTGTGACTTAGATCGTCGTTGTAAGTAGTAGTGAGAAGGTGTCAGTAGGTGGCTAAATGAGATATCCTAGAAAATTCCAGAGTTACAAGACACTCAGTTTTGAAGATGTGAAAATATTAGTTTGAGTTTATATCATAAATGAATATGTATAGGTTAAACTTAATAATTCAAAATACATAAAAGTACAAAACAAATAAGTGTGCAAAATGAACTAAAATACAACAGTCAAATGCAAAAGAAATCCCATTTTTCTATATTTTATTTGATGCTTGAAAATCAATAGTTTCATCAATGCTAATACACCACATAAAACAGGGTTATTTCTTAGGTTAGCCAGTGATGTAGATATGCTATTTGATGTATGCCTTTAAAAACATATACAAAACTGTAAAACTAGCGGTTTTGTTTTGAGTTTACTTACTGATTACAAGTTTTATTTTGTTAGAAGTTACAGTTTTTACAGTAAGAAGAATATTTTTAAAACAGGTATGATGTTTTGATTACTGGTGCAATAAATCTCAAGTCAAGTACACAAGTTTTAATAATAAAAAAAAGGGTTCTAGTATTTAACTAAACATTCAATAATCTAACATTTTATTTAAATTTTAGAATGGACATATTATTTATTTGTAGTTGAACAGAAAAAGCAAACAAAAACTTAATAAATATGAAACTGTGGAAATGTTGTGTGAAATATTTGCATAAGATTAGGAATGTGTGTGGAAATAACAAACAAACACATACAGAGATGTGTCTGGGTATTTGTTAATTGTGGGATTGCTTGATTTTATTAAAAAGGGTTTCTCTGATTTTTTCTTCTGTTGATGTCAGGTTCATGTTTTAGTACCGTGACTGTTCAGAAAAACCGTAGTTGTTTTTGTTCATATGTTCATGGACTTTCTTAACATGTGTGTAATTTTTATTGCAGGGGGGGAAATAACTGTAGTCATTATGTTACGGTTGTATTTTCGTGCTAGTCTTTTCCAAATTTGTGATATAAGCTAATGTTTTCTATATATGGGATAGCGTAAGTGATGAAGAACAGAATGTCACAGTTCTAAAACATGAACCTCACATTAACAGAAGAAAAATGAGAGAAACCTTATTAATAAAATCAAGCAATCCCACAATTAACAAATACCCAGACACATCTCTGTATGCGTTTGTTCGTTATTTCCCCACACATTTCTAATTTTATGCAAATATTTTGCACAACACTTCCACATTTATTGATTTTCTATTTGTTCCTCTTTTCAGCAAAAATAAATATCTGTCAATCCATGCAGACTGACTGATATGCACATGCATAAATAGCCACTATCAATTCTAGAACTCAAATAAAATGTTAGACTGTTGAATGTTGATTTAAATACAAAAACCTTTTACCATTAAAACTTGTGATCAAAACTTCATACCTGTTTTAAAAATATTCTTCCTTACTGTAAAGTGCTGTACATATTATTCTATTTTATGATCAAGTTGTATGGGAAACAAGATTCCTCAGAAAAGTATATGTTTTTGTTTATGTACGCAGTTGTATGTAAAGTTAGCTCATGTTAATAAAATTTAATTTTTTAAAACTGAATATTGAAAAAAAATTAAATGAATAAGATAAAATTTTTTTTTACACCTTAATTTTTTCACAATTTCTAAAGATTAAAGAATACGTAACAAATGTCTACAAATGTAATTGAAAAAAAATTTAACTAAACCTGTCCATCTTCTGGTCTTTCAAACCCCATCAAACGAAGTAGGTCTAGTTGTTCAAGGCTATCATTAATAACTGACAGTTGGCGATTTCCAGATATTTGTCTTCTCCTCCCTCCATCTTGCTTAGAATCTCCACTTGAAAAGAAAATTGCCAAAATAAAAATGAATAAATATTGAAGAGCAAAGTTTCTTGGTTTAAATAATGAAAACTCCAATTTCAAGGGTAATAACCTTAAAAAACATAGATATAAAATATCTTATTTATGATACTGTTATTGAACACTGTTAACACATACAGCAGTTTTTTAAACTTGATTCTAGTTTTTTTGTTTTTTTTTAATTTCACGCAAAACTACACGAGAGCTATCTGCACTATCGTCCCTAATTTAGCAGTGTAAGACTAGAGGGAAGGTAGCTAGTAATCACCACCCACCCCCGACTCTTAGGCTACTCTTTTACTAATGAATAGTGGAATTGACCATCACATTATAACGCCCCCACGGCTAAAAGAGCGAGCATGTTTGGTGTGAATTTTGATTCTAAAGGACAAAAATAAATTATTATATAATATTACAAAATATACATTCATAGCTGGATCTGTGAAATTGATAAGGTTAATCTCAAAGTTTTCATGAATCCTGGGATCTTCTCAGATTATTTTTGATAAGCATAAAAATTGAATAAGCTGCTTTCTTTGAAAAAAAGAAAAGAAAGGAGATATTACTGATCATTCTAGGAATTCTGCATTACAATTCTTTAAAACCGATCCTTTTGTGCTCAGTCAATTAAGATCCAATTTTATCTTCAAAAAATATTGGATGCACAAGTTTCTTCAAAACACATAAAAACTCAGTTTGGTTACAAAACAAAAATATGAAGATATTGAAGGGAACTTTTCATAGCAGCACACTCTCCTCACATTATATCTTCCCCATGAGAGAAGGGGCAAGCATGTTCGTTGATAGGATTCAAACCCATAATTCATAGATTGAGAGTTGAGCACCCTAACCACCAGGCCATTTGTCATGTAAAAATTAATTGTAATAAGTGAAAAGAATGGATTAACTACAAAAAAACATGAAATTACCCTGCAAGCTTTCAGTTAGGTAATACTTCAATTAGGATAGCCAGTAAAATCAAGACCATTATTGATTGTACTGTGAACAGATTGGGATTACTTTGTTTTTCACTGCCATCATCTTTTCTGGAAACAAATAACTCTGAGACTATGAAATATCTGGGATGCACACACACACACACACACATAATACGTTACAAACTTCTACTACAAAATTAATTTAAAAAAATATTTTCTAAGAGATAATATTGCTACTTTTATGTTTGTTATTTGGAACTGTTATGTAAGTTGAAAAACAGTAGCAAAGTGAGGAAAATTTCGTTTTTCTAGTTTCCAGTTTTAAAAGTTCTTTAACACATACATGTAATTAACTAATCATAAAATCAACTCTTCTTAGACTGTTTCAGATGTTTTCAATACAAAATGTTATTTTAATGACTATGTGATTAAGGTTTAAAAGCACAGGATCTGAATAAATGCAGTAAATTGGGTTATACTTACCGAGTATTCCACTGACTAGCTCTTCGATTAAATGGAAGAGAAGAGAAAATAACAATAGGAACTTTCTGTGCAGAAACCAGGACAACTCTGACAAAATCAGAGAAGATATGCGTGTTATTCAACAAAGAATAAAGACATCTTATTTTGTTAGCAGCAACTTTGGAAAGATTCTTCTAAAGATTAACAGGTAGATTACAGTGCTATACATGATTTCAAGGTCACAAAAATCTGTATTAAATTTAAGGAAATAACAATGTTGTTTTTTCATGCATGCCAAAAAAAAAGGTTGATAAATTAATATTCACAAGTCATACTTCTTATTTCTGAAATTAGGATAAATTTTGGTTAGAGTCGTTGACATACCTTTCATCTTTGATTTGCTGGCCTTTGGAATTCCTCAGATACCGAATCTCCAAACCTGACCCGGACGAGTCTGATAAACTGCTAGAAGTGTTCCTACTGTGGTTAATATCTCCACCTGAAACAAAAGAAAATGACTTCAAACCAATCAAAAAATATAATATTAACTAACATCTGAAACTACAATACTAGAAATTGAATTATGATAAAAACAACAAACAAACAAGTGTTTGAATACCTAAATGTCTATTAAGTGAAATAAAATGTTAACAGATATAATTCTGTAGTTTATTACAATTATAGTACTTGATATTACATCATTTTTTAAGTAAGTTCTAACAGTAATTCACTTGTAGTCACTATGAGAAAAACCTATACACTGGGTAGGTGAAGTGAAGAAAAAGTGTCATTGGCCACTATTCAGTTCTTCACATTGTATAGCCACACAATAGTAAGTATAATAAATAAGCTTAGTATTCTGAAAATTGTTTAATCTCGAAGTCTAAGTTCAAGATAGGTCCAGTTCAATCTACACTTTGATGAATGCGTGTTATTGGATTATACTAGATTCATAGAATTCCACTCCTCATCAGTAACCCTGAACACAAACTAACGAGAGAGAGATAAGCTGGACCTATATCATAGTGAAAATTATCAACCATATTGTTGGTGTGAACAATAAACAGAAGGAAAACAAATAACAAATGAAAAGTTGCATAACTTTGATCTATGAAAATCAGATAATTGCAGAAACAAAAGTGTCTACAAATAATTACAATTATTTACATACTTTAAAACAAATGCACAAAACAATGGATTAATTTGCATGTTTGTAATTGCCAATCTAAATTATACAATCATTAAAAAAAAGAAAAACATACTTGTTGGAAGTTAGGCTCATTCCTACCTATGCTCTCCGAACTTTCACTTGCTACAATTTTATGTTGTTCTTGAGAAGAGAGCCGATGAATGAGTTGTTTCTTGCGTTGACTAAACGAAGCAATTCTTGTTCGTATTTCAGCTATTGTACCAGCTGTCCTATTGTTAAGAATGAGTTTATACTATAATAGTGCATGCTGAGTTTCAGAACAGTTTACAAGTATCTACAAACTTATCTAGTAGTAAAACCTACAATGTTTCTTCATTTAATAATTAACGTTTTCAAAACTACCATAAAAACTGAAAATCATTCCTTTTTCTTGAACATTATAAAAGCAATTTATGTTACAAAAGTCAGTGTAGGTGTTCAATCAACCTTTTTCATTTTTACTAAAATACTATGAGTGAACAAATCAGAAATACTGATATCAGCTCTAGATTTTATATTCTAAATAATATTTCATCTTTACAGTTTTTTTATTAAACAAATTACCTCAGCAATCACTGTGAAAAATTACATCAAAGAAATGAATTTACTTTCAAATTCAGCTGTAAGAAATTTTGAAATTGCAAACTCAGAAGGATAAATAAGCATTGTGCGTATGTGTGTGTGTGAGAGAGAGAGTTGAAAAATACCAATTTAATAATATACAGATTTCGAAATGTAAATTTTTATTTTTCAATATCAGCTTTCCTTTGCAGAAGTGTAGTGTTATATTACTCCCACATACTAAAGTATTAATAAATTGTGAAACAATGTTGCCAATAGCAAAACTCCTAAGCTAGAAACATCAATAATGTGTGTCTATGTTTAAAAGTATGAAATGAAACACATCTGGATTAGCAAAAAGGAAAACAAAACATATTATAGCAGTGTCAAAATGTGCTGTTATAAAAATACAAAATAATGAACTAATAATTACAACACATCTACATGTAAAATATGCATTTGATGCATGTGATATTTAGGTCCATTATTTCCAAAAGATTAGTTCAAAAGTATCCTCAAGAATAGAGATTCTGAAAACTTACTGTTACGTCTCCATTCGTTCGTTAATTAATTTTCTGTAAATTCGTTCCAACGAAACTTTAGCGACACAAGTCCTTTCTTAAATAAAACTGGTTTATTCTTTCCGAATACAACTTTACCGATACACTTAATTTCAACAGTCGCTCTATAACAAACGCTATTATTCTCAAAGAATGTCTCACGTGCTCATGCTCGACAATACTCAGTTAAATTACTCATTGTTCCATCACGTTGTGACCGTCTTATATATACAAGACTAACACATCTCTAGTAAATGCTAGAGCATTCACGAA